CTTTATTGGAACATTCTTGTTGACGCTGTTCCTGAGGTAAACGTCTTCGATTCAGGTGAAATCGTGCTCATCTTTCGTGTGTCAACGTCAGAGCAGATGGTATCATCATTACAAACATATACAAGCTAACGAGTCAATAAAACTCGCCGGCTCCTCGCTCACATGAAGAACAAAAGATCATCAGAGTGGATGGTAGGTACGAGGAGAAACTGGGTTTCGATGAATCTCCTGAGATAACATTGTTGGGCGGACTTTCATTTGGTATGAAAGTGCATGAAGAAGAGATTCGTTGGTCGATCCCATCAGAAGAGGACGGATAAATCTCGTTGTACCGCAGCCGTTTGGCTTGTATACGACGCTCAAGCTGACGCAGTCCATGAGACCTGAACTTTCGTTTATCATTCGATGGACTTCATCAAAGCTGGGTTTATTCCCGAAAAAGTCTCGCGTTAACACTTGTTCAAGAAGACTATCCGGCTCTATCTTACCTCTTATATAGACTCAATTAAGCAAAATAAATTAAAAACCTAGATGGATAAATAGATAGATAGACATATAGTTGTTTGGCTAATTATCTTTCATACTGATCTTGCTACTTTTGTTCGAAGTTCGCTAAACAATATTAACATTGAGCTTAAGTGCCAGTTGTCAGTCTTCTTGCGCTAGTGTTGACGTGAGACTTCTACAGAAATGAGATCCAGCTTTGATGATGTCCCTCGAATGATGGACGAAAGCTCAACACGTTTTCACTCGAAACGAGGGACTGCATCAACCTGAACGGGATTCATGCGTACTCTTTTGGTGAGATCGAACTACGAATCTCTTCGTACGAAATTAAAGTTCCCCCAACAATGCGTGATGGTAGTCATCGAGCCTTAAGGGTTGGGTAGCAGACGTTACTTTTGTTCTTCTAATTACTTCGTTGCTTCGAGGTTGACATAAGACTGGAATTAACCAAATCACTTTATACCTCACCAAAGAGTCCGGATTTAGAGTGTATATGTAGCTTTTTAGGGATGAGCCGGCGAATTTTCGTGGCTCGTTAGCTTGAATTTGGCTGTAATGATGATAACCTGCTCTGATGATGCTCGTCATACGATGGACAAAAGCCCAGCACCTTTTCACCGGAATCGAAGGAGATTGCCTCGGAAACAGCCTCAGCATGAATGCTCCAGTAAAGCCAATCGACAGCTGGTCAAGAGGAATCCGTCGTCGTCTTTTGGTGGAACCGACCTGCGAGTCTCTTCACCCAACACTTCCGCTCGAAATGGAAGTAAGCTCAACAATTATGAAACAAGAGATTTCTCAAAAACCCAACGCATGTGTATACGATGCTGTCGTTTTTAGTTGCTGGTATATTTGGCGTGTAAGATGGAGCCGTAGGCCTTTTGACTCGGCGTTTCTTAGAAGCTTTTACAGCAACGAGTTTCCGCTCTGACGGTGTCTGTCAGATGAAGACTGAAAGCTCAGTCCATTTCACTAGAACCGAAGAAGGATGACTCGAATTAAAGGCAAACGACTGGCCAACACCGTGATCGGGTTGTAAATCTGTTCACCAGGTACTTTCACAAAATAGAAACCACCACGACAATGCACGCCCAGGATTATAAGACAAATGGGCAAACTTGCATCTTAGCATATACATGCAAAATGTATCCATGGACACACAAGTAGGTATGCACATACATACATAAACACATGCATATATACATGCATGCATGCACACAAATGCATACGGATATAGTAATTGTGGTGGAAGAAGTAGCGGCAGAGGGGAAATATGTGCAAGCCGGAGAACGCAAATAAGAACACATTCACATATACACACACACACACACACAGGCGACACAAGCATACATGCGTTGATCAGGAAAGTAAGGTCTATAAAAAGTGAATTGAAAAAGTGTTTTAGAATTCTACAAAAGTCCTGTTGCAGCCGACGTTGGAGAGGGCTTAGCAATGAGGCCAAGCAATATACATTTTGTCAATCGATCATAAACGGTTGTCTGCTCACACCACTTTTGGCTGTACCCTTAAGTCTTGACAGAAAGTTCTCCTGAGCCGGCTCATGTGCGCATGTCTCTGTGGCCTGACAAGTACATGAAGAGTGGGGTGATTGCAGTCGGCATCTCAGCCCGCAGACGCGTCATTCTTGCATCGCTCTCTCACACCGAACATGTGCCCTCGGTCGGGCGACTTGGAGGCTGGCTGCGGCCACGTCCGACGCATCGAGGCGCCCCGGTCGTCGGCTCCAGGAAACCGAGGGAGCCCTCTTCATCGGCGTCAAGGTGTCCTCTCGAGGGGTGGCCACTGTTGAGGTGTGGGCCAGCAACCAGTCCAGATCCACCCGAAAGCATCCACTTGGTGGTCCGGCTCGGCATGTGGACTGGACTGAACCAGCACTCTTGCCTCCGCTTAGGAAAATCTCGCCGGGTCTTGGCACGTCTGCGGGAAAGAAGGAGTATCAAGTGTGAAAGCTAAGCTTAGACGAGAGTAGAGATTATATTTTTCGGTAACGTATGTGATTAGTTTCGGACGAGGCTGGAGGCCTAAAACCGTCCACAAACCGTGTGCCAACAGCAACTTTTCAGACTTCTAAATGGGGTATTTTAAACCGAATCGGTAGTTTCACTAATTAAAGCAAAGGCCTGGGTTTCGGTGTGATCATGGTTTCGAAACCCTTCAAGGAGCGATCTGATCACCTGATTTTTTCAAATGTCCAGCTAGTCCGCTTTTCGGCAGAAGGAGCCCCTTCAGAACAGGTTTGTTATGAGTTTCAGAAAAATGCTCTTCCTTTTAGCAATTCTATTATTGTCCTATTTGTCTGTGAAGATACAGACCAAATTAGAATTGGTCACATTTAATATCTGCTTTTGTTGAATGGGCAAAAGATTTTACGGTTTTGGAGGTGAATGCCTCTTTTGCAGATCAAGGCAAAATGACTCTGGATTGCGTTTCTTTCATTTCCTTTGAAGAGGAGAGTGAAAACCGAGCTTTTTTCATATCTAAAAAATGATCCTTGGCCGGTCTACTTTCATTCTGTGCGAAAGTCTGTGTGAAAATATTTGTAGATTGAGGTCACCAGAAGATGGCATCAGAATCCCTTTGTCTGCTACTATTTAACTTTGCCTTCGCTGTACTTGAGACATCTTCCTTTCATTTCAGTGAAAGCCTGCTGAGCTCTTGAACTCAACCACACATACCTTCGGTATTTCGAATTCGTAGAGCTTTGTTTTCCTGACTCAAAGAATACCATTAAACCCTGATGACTTTCAGCATCCTTTTCACTCTGCTCATTTTCTCCAGAAACATACATACATACATACATACATACATACATACATACATACATACATACATACATACATACATAC